TTGCCTCAATAGCAGCATCACATCTTCTTAGGCTGGCAAGAAAAAAATGTGGCAGACAGTTTATTAATGAGTGAAGAATTTATGTTTAATGCGGACATGTTGCAAGGCAGGTAAATATTCTGGTCATCAGCTAATTAATGTTCACACTGCATTTCATGCTGAGATTAGCAGCTAGAAGGGATGGGCTGTTTTTTTCAGAATTCCTCAACATCTGCGTGTGGATTTTCATCAAGATACTCTTACACAGCTGATTACTGAAAATGCATTGTCAGTATCAATTACCAAAGCAGCTGCTTTTACCTGCCTTATACAGGTAAAAGCTCAAGCTTTCACAGCTCATCAAGCTGTGTATGAAGTAGCTGGTTATGCAGAGACTTGTTAAATGACATCAAGACATGAATAAGCTCAAATTGAAGAATTTGTTTATGGTGTGTCAGTTATAAGAGACATCAAGCAAGGTCAAGCAGGGTCAGCTGCAGCAGGTTGCCCAGGACCATGTCCAGTCACTTCTTGGTTATCTCCAAGAATGGAGACTCCACAGCCTCTCTGGGCAACCTGTCCCAGTGTTTGACCACCCTCTCAGTAAATAAGTGGTTTCTGGTGTGCCGATGGGATTTCATGTGTTTTTGTTTGTGGTGATTGTCTCTTGTCCTGTCAGTGGGCACCACAGAGGAGATCCCAACTCCCTTTTCTTCATTCCCACACATCTGGTATTTATACAGATCTCCTCTCCAGGCTGAACAGCCCCAGCTCTTTCATACTTTCTTCATATGAAAGATGCTCTAGTCCCTTAATCATCATAGTGGCCCTGTGCTGGACTCCAGTAAGGAGCTCCAGATGGGTAGGTGGAGCAATGCCATTTCTGGAGAAGATGCCCCTGGCACAGTGGCACAGGAGGTAGACTATCTTCCTCCTGCTTCATGAGGTAGCCACCATCTGGGGCTAGGAAACAAGGTCCTGATAGCATGTTCGTGACAGTACCTCGGGCAAGTCACAAACAGAGAGGGTAGCAGGGTTGGCAGCAGTAGCAGCAAAAGGCTGACAGACAACAGTTGTTCTGTTTCATTGTTGCTTTGATGGGAGAACCCTGCTGTAATTTCCTGAAACACACATGTGATGCTACTGAATAGTGGAGTACTTGGCCCCAGGAGCTGCTCTGGACATGAGATGTATCTTCTCTGGCCTCTCCGTCAGACCCATGCGAAGGGGTCCCACTAGGCACTTGAGGGATCACAAGCAGTGCTAGATAGCTGCTGTTAGGTGACTGAACAGGACCACTGTACTAGAGAGGGCTTCCTGTCACTTTGTAATGGAATGATGAATTATCTCTGTGTTATCTTATTGAAGCTGTAAATGATTAATTATTTTCAGTTTTTAATTTCCAGTATTTTTGATGCATTCAAATAATAAGTACAGCATTTTTGGCAGCGGTTTTTAACATTCTCTGTTTCCATGCCACATCATCTACTACATCCAGCTAGAAGCAGTTTCTCACTGAATTCCTTATCGGCCAGCAGTCTTCCCCATGTGATTTGCATCAGACTGAAAAAGGACCATTAAAGAGGGTTTGGCAAATGTCCCTTTTTTCTTTATGGGTGTTCTTGCTCTGCAAACACAAGCAAGCAGTAAAACACATAGAACTTGACAGTGGAGCACCCAGCCCATCACTTGTTTTTATGTTTGTGTATTGGTTCCACCTAGAAATCAGAATTAAATGTGTGATACATACCTATATAACACCTCCCATCTGAGGATTTTTAAGTACTCAGACATTTCAGACTCTTTTAAGGCTGTATGCTGTCCCATTTCTAGGTGGCTAGCATGGAGACAAGTGAATAATTTATAGCAGGTTTATGAGACGTGGCTACTCATCTGTTTTACTTGACTGCTGACTTATGTAGCTAGCAAAAATAAACCTCCATTTGTTACTGGCTATGGTTCCTGAGGGAAATGTTACGTAATAACAACAAGAAAAATCTTTAGATCAATTTCAGGTGAAAGAGCAAAACAGTTACCAATCAGAGTTTTAAAATTTGTATCTGGATGAACTTCTTTCAAGCTTCTGGAAGTGGCATGTTTGGCTTTCAGGCAAATTTTGTTTGAGAAGGGTTAACAATACAGTGTTTATCAAGGATCCAGTTTGCTCAGCCATCTGATGTACTTTGAAACCTGGCTGTTTGAAGCATTATGCAGAGTTCTCCTCTCCCTGCCCCTGCCCTCTGTAGGATGGCTGTTTGTCCTCACAGCATTGCTGCTTCTGTTAGTTTTTTAGAAAAGGGGCTGTAGAATCCCACAGACTTTATTTAGGTGACCCAACAGGAGTGCAGTCTGCAGCGCCCTGCATTCCCTCTTCATGGTCGTCTGCAGGGGCTGATCTCAGTCCTGGATGGATTTGCTGGCAAAGGGGCACTATTCAGTGTCTTGTCACAGCCTGGCAACCTCTGGAAGCCATAAATATCTCTGGCCAGCTAACATCAGCACAGAGGAGTGTCAGGTTTGGAGCAGGAGACATGAAAATTACTTGCAATCATATCTGTGCCCCAGGGTGTTTCATGTCTAGAGGCCTGTGTGTGGGCCCTCAGCTGTAGACTCTCTTGTGCTCATAGCCAAGAACATAGATTTTCACTTTTGTTTCTAATTATGTAAGGTAAAACTGCTTTCTTAGGGTCTTTTCCTTTGTCTCACGAGATGTTTACAGGTCACTGACTTCAATGCTAGCCCAAGACATGAAAGAGACAGCACGGCCAGTTTAGGAACCCTTCAATATTCTGTCTACTCACACACTCTGATGTTTCTTGTGCAGTTATTGCTCGATGCCAAAGTCAGATAACTTTCTGATTTTTAAAATTAATTTAAAGAAACAAATCTGTTTCAGCACTTCAGGGAGTTAAACATTACAAAGCTGAGGGTGTTTATCCTTGTTCAGTTCACAGAGATAAAATACTCTGTAAATCTGTAGTTACTGTGATTAGTGAAATGTCTACAACAAATTCTAGGCAACTACTTTTTATATTGAGTCTTTATAAATGTGTTCACAAATCATAATGGGTTTGCCCCAGTGGCTTAACTTGTAATGTGTCTGTAGTGCAGAAGTCCTTCAGTTAAAGAATTTGTCATAGTTTAACCCTTTTATGGTTGTATGTATTTAAAAGAATTCAGAATCAAATTTTAAAAGTGAATATGAGTTGACATAAATTCAATGCTAAAATTATTGGAATATAATTCAGCACCTGTGGCCTACCCAGTGACTCGTGTGGGATTGCATTGCTTCAAGACAGTAGGAAAAAGGTCTCTTAAGATCAAGAAGAGCCTCTTAAAATATAATCAATCACAATACTGTATAACCATATGCTACAGCATTTGATCGTTCTGCACATCATCTCTCTTATAAAGGGATCTTCATCTTGGATGGAATTATAAAATGCATTACCTTTCTTCTTCTTTAAAATAGCAGTGAAACAAGCAGTCCAGGTCAGTTCCCATTACAGCAATAGATACATGCCTGTTAACTGCAGTGAGAGCCAGACTCTGTCCTGAATGGCTATATGAATGATCAAAAGATGCATATTATAAGAATGTACAGTTATGCTATGAGAAATTTTGCTTTCGTTCTCTTCAAAGGCTTCAGGCATCTCAGGGAAACCAAGAAAAATCATAGCAGTAAGTCTTATGAGCACACATGAGTTTATCAAAGCCCTCATCATCTGATACTGATTTTCACTGCATGTAAATAAATATACGAATAATTTATTTACTTCATTTCTATAATCAAACAATCCTGGGTTATTTTCTGTCTTACTTGGCATGGCAGGAGTAGTCTCAGTCTGTTTTTCTGCCTGGGACCCATAGCTTTTACTCCTGAATTCACATCAGTGCTTGTTCTTTGGGTTGAATGACCAAGCAAGGAGGGGGTCCTGTTGTGCTAGGTGGGACCTGTGCACCTCCTAGCCCCAATCAGAGGACAGGCCAAGAGAATCAATGCAAGGGAATTGCAAGCAGTGAATCAGTGTGGTGGGGGTAAACACCACATTTACTTCTTTTCAAAATTTGGTGTGGAGTTCTGTTATGATGGGAGGGTTGTTGAAATTAAAACAAAGCAGATGAAGGTTGATAAAACCAGAGAAGAAGAGGCAGAAGTAATGAACTGGGAGAGAAGAAATTGCAAGGGGATGGGCAGTCAGAGAAGGTCTGAGAATGCTCAGAGTGAAAACATCCTGCTGGTGTCTCTGCTGCAGCGCCTGGTGGGACAGCAGCTTCTCATGCTCCTCTTGGCTTTGATTGGCCTTGGGGCCTTGAAAGATGCCTCACCAGAATTATTTCTGCTCCCTGAAGCCCATCTGGCTTGGGGAAGAATAGTCCTTTCCCTGTCCTTGTGCCCCCGGAGGGAGTCAGTTGTTCCTGAAAAGGGCGAACTGTGGTTTCACCCAGCTTGCTTCTGCCCTGGCTGATGAGGACACCTGACTGCAAGGGTAATGTAGTCCTGGGCCATCTGGGTTACTCCAAGTTATCTGGAAAGCTTCTCTGAGACAGCGCATCCTTGTGATGAACAGAGGCTCAAAAGCAGAAACAAATTCCAAAGCTTTCCCCAACACAAATAAGAGCAAAAAGAGGATACATAACTCAGTTGTAACTCATCATTGGAGCAGTGGGATGAAGAATGGGGGAAACGCTGATGCATGTGGGATTATTATAGGGATTTTCCTGCTTGAACTCTGGTAGTCTTAGAGGAAAATGGATGTATACTGTTGCTGAGGAAATGAGTCTCCCAGAGTAAGGTCAGCTTCTCCCCGGTGTGAATTTCTGCTGCTTTGTGCTCACTCAAATCAATTAACCTAAAACCTACAAACAGCACAAGCCACGGCTCCTTGCAGTTATTATATGGAACTTTATACAGTTGCATGTGGATTTAATCATAAACAGTCCAGGAATTAATTCAAGTTTATATTCCTCTTTAAATATTTGTATTCCTATAATGGACTATTGCCCATTTTTCTCTGTAGGTGCCAGCTTGCATGACGACATCAGTAAATACTTCTGGTTTCATCATTCTCAAGGGGACACGATGACAGTTCAGGATCCAAACCAGATGAATCTCTGTGCTGCTGTTTGGACTGTTGTCTCCTATGTAATTGCTGACATGGAGGAGATGTTGCCAAGGTGATAAAACAGCAAGAAAAGAGATTTCTGTTCTTCAGTCAAGATTGTGAGTCCACTAATGCATGTGGTCTACAGCTGTAGGAAATTCCATTATTCACCCTGATTTTGTGCATTATTATGTCTGTTTTCCTTAAAGCACATGCTTTTTTACACATTCCTGTTTCTTTTGCTGTTTTGATATCTTCCATTTGTGATTTTCACTTAAAATTTCTTTTTTTAAGTACTTTTCAAAATTCTGATGAGGATGTGATACCTCTTTGACTATGATATAATAATTGTTTGTTATGCAAAGTGTATGCAGCAGGAAAAATCTCTCAAATAAATTTGTTGCATCAGAATAATTATTGTATTGAGTTAGTGTACACATTTATGGGTTTGTTTTCTGTCTTTCACTCTATGAATTAAAATTATGTACTACTAATAAAACAGCCATTTCTTTTTACTCTCTTAAGATAATGCTGTTTCAGGTTATAGGACAAATTAATCTTGGCTGTTTTAATGGTGGTATGTGGTAAAATGGTCAAACAATGGTCAAAATGCTAAAATAATAGGGCTTTTGTAAGTTCATTCAGCTCCCACTATTAAATTGTACTAAAGATTGCTTCATGTGAGACTCAGATAAACCAGGACAGAGGACAGGAAGCCAACCACAGGACTCCCAGATCTCCTGTGTTTCTTCAGGCACCTCCCCATGGAAAGCTGTGCGTGTCCTTTTCTTTCTGATGGAAGACTCACTGTACTGACATGAAGTGGCAGTTTTTCTCTGAAATGCCATGATGTTTCATAAATGGCATCACAGCTGTGATTTGTGACCTTCCCTACCTGCCAGCTGATATCCAAACAAAGTGTAAGAGCAGATTTTGATTCAGACTGCTGAAGCCATTCCCAGCCACCCTTCTCTTCCAGGGATGCCCTCCCCTGCTGGAAGCCAGGCGAGAGATTGCTGACACATGCATGCTTTGATAGAAGAATTAATCTGGGAATTTGATTCTTGTATAATTTGTTGAGTTTTGGTTTTGGGTTCTTTTCCTGCTCAAGTATTATGAATATTCAGATTAATTTCAGGGGTATCTCTAAAGAAGATACAACTGGTGCTGGGTAATATTTTAAGGCATATGATTTCTGCTCATTTCTTTGTACATGTTCATTGTTTGTGCTTTTAAATTTTACAGCAAGCAAACTTACTGATGTGAATAACTGCTGCAATATAATCAATTCCAAACAACTAACGTAACGAGCAACATGGAGTATTAAATCGCATGGCAGGCAGTCCCTGGTGCTGTTAATCAGTTCTGTAGCTGAGCAATAGCTGAGTGATGAGCCATTCATTTTCAGAGAATTAATAACCATCATATCTGTTTACCATGATAATAGCAGTTTTACATAAAATTTATTAAATATTTCCTTTTTTCCTCCAAATAATTTCAGGAACATAAAAGCTGCCTGGAGTTACTCTGCTCTTTCTTTTTAAAGAAACAGTATTGAAATGAAGTTCACAAAAATTTCCTCTTCTTTCAAGCCATGACACCTATGCTTTCTTTTTCTGATTTGCTCGACAAGAGCATGGCTGGTGGTGCTCACCGCTGACAGATCCTCAGCTGTCTCTGAATTCAGCCTTTTAACCGTCACAGAACATTACTGACTGTTGCCTGAACTGCGTTCCACATCTTTTTCCCTCAAGGTATGCCGTGAAGTTACATTTATTGTTACGTATCTTCACCCGTGCTCACTTGGAAAAGGGGTTTATATGTGTTTTTTTCTATTGCCTCAAGTCAGATGGAGAATCTCTGAAGTCAAGAATATTCTGCAGATTAGAACGCTATGGCAAGCCCATGGCACCACAACACATCCCAAGATGTGCTTGTTGGTGTCTAGGCTACATAACATAGGCTGTAAAAATTAAGACCTTGATGTCCCTAAAGAAAATGTAACCTTCACATCAACATCAGATACACAGTTCTAGAGAGAAGTTTGACAGAGTGGATTTTGAAAAAAATGTTCAAAAATTAAAATTGCTCTTTTTATAGAAATAGTGAAATAAAAATATTTTAGTTCTCAAATTGAAAAACAAGGGGTTTTTACATATAAAAAGATTTTGTTAAATAAGACATTGTCTTTTTGATTCACTCCTTCATTTTCTATCTTTAATAGGTCTCAAATCTAAAAGTTCAGCTGTTCACAGTGCTGTCCTGATAACTTGTCTGTTCAGATTTACCTCTCAAAAATTTCTATAAATGAAGAGATGCTAATACATTTCTTTCCTTTCCCAGTGGGATTTTCTACCATCTGTGCAATAGCTCATCTTCAGCCCTGCTCAGAGTAACAGTTACGCTGTTTCATTGGTGGCAATTAAACACATATCAGTTGATCAATTTTCAGTTCAAGAGCACTTCTGAAGTGATCCAGGTCTGCCAGCATAACTTTGCTTTCCACTGGTGTGTCAAATTTGAGCTTTGAGAATCTTTCTGAAGTTTAGTTGAGAAAGTAATAGCTGAGCATGTTATTTATATTACTATTATGTCAGGGTCAGCTGCCATAAATCTGTGCTTTTTGTAAGTATTTTGATGACATTCTAAGATAAAGGGACAGTGTGTATGTTTCCCTCTGATAAAATAAAAAACTATCAACTTTGGACTAGATTGTTTTCTGCCTGCAAAGATCTGCGAACTGCGAGTCGAAAAAACAGTGGTAGTGTTTAAATATATGTCAAAAATTTAAATTTCAAATAAACATTTTCCTCAAGGTATTACAAATCTCTTGCATCTGCTGAGAAGAAGCAAGGCCCCTGGGTAGCCTTCCTTTCTGCTACAACGCAAAGCTTTCAGACATAGTTACAGAGGGATGAGGCCAATACATAATTCATTTACTCGACTAGACTATAGCACAAATGCTGATGAAAAGTCTCTTTTCAGTACTGCATAATGTAACATAGGTAATTTTGCCAGTAATAAAAGAAGAATTGCAGGATAGGAAACTGGGTTGGTGCTTTTGTCCTTCTTGTGTCAAGACATTATTGGAGTTTCACTGCCTCTTTGAATGTTTCAGTTCTATGTGATCCCGCAAGACTTTTACCTTTCTTAAAATAATTAAAAACAAAGAAAGAGAGCTATTTCCTGGAACAAGAGCTTCTGCTGCTGCTACACTGCAAACATGCCTGGCTGTATATTTAGTTAGTATGCTTCCCCCATAACGATTTGAGATACTTCCATTTGCCATGAGTAAATATCAAACTGATCTTGATATCTATATCTGTCTCATGAAATATACATACCATCTAAATGTGCCCAAATGATTAATTTACTGCCGTGTAAAGATTAGCATAAAAATCTCATCACTGCACAGGACAGAAATGTTACCACTAATTGCTGGTTGAAGTGAACAATGTTTTCTGCATAGAAATTAATGATGCATGTATCACAGCTTGCTTTTGAATGGGAAAAATCAAGACTTTCTGGAATAGAAGCATCTTTGTTGTTTTTTCTTCTCTTTTCTGCTAAATGATAGGAGAGCCTGATCATTTATAATAGAAAGGAATAGTATTTTGTGCATGGTCCATTTTATCTTTGCACCACACTTACAGAAATGTTTTAACTTACAGATTTTGTAGTCTCCTGTTTGGAGCAAATGCATGGAAGCACCGTCCACACGCACACCTTGGTCTTTCATGGTCATTACTTCTGGAAGCTCCAGCCCCTTTGCACAAAGGTTTAGTCAGCTACGAAGATGTGTTTTGTAGTTACAATTGTTTAATAAATATGTTGTGCTAGCACCTTATTAAGGCCTTTAGGAGTCTCTCATCTTAGTAATCCTCTTTGCCCTTGGAAGAAGAACCTTGATGACAACTTTATATTCAGCTCTGTGTTTAGCTTGTAGTTTGATTTCACTTCAGGGCAGATCAATCTCCTTTAGTTTATGCTAAGTTTCTGTTTTCTGGGGTTTCTTTGATGTTTCACAGTGTCTTTCTCTGCATCTACACTGTAATATGGATATTAGGAATGACTAACCGACTGAAAAGATCAGGAACAGGCTGTCCAGAGAGGTTGTGGAGTCTCCTTCTCTGGAGACATTCAAAACCCGCCTGGACGCCTTCCTGTGTAACCTCATCTAGGTGTTCCTGCTCCGGCAGGGGGATTGGACTAGATGATCTTTTGAGGTCCCTTCCAATCCCTAATGTTCAGTGATTCTGTGATTCTGTGAAAAGATCTGTGTATTTTGTGCCTTGGGACTCAGGAACTGCAAGGTGTGATGGAGATGACACCAAAGAGCAATGCAGAATCATACAGGTAACAGCTCCATCAGGACTACCACTTGCCATTATCAGTGGTCTATGTTACTGGCAGGCAGAACTTTGTGATTAATGCAATGAGTTTGCATTGACAGTCATAATTTTCTATATAACTGTGTGAAAGTCAGGTTCGTGGAAACCAAAGAAGGAAGATCTGGAGGAGGGACCACAAAAATTAGAGCAAGGTAACACTGACGAAGAGACTATTGCTTCAAGTACTGTCCCAGTTTAAGCTCAATAGAACTCATTTTCTATTTAGTGATTTTACTTTTCAGCTAATCTAAGTGGTTGTACTTGCTGAAACTTACTGCATGTTTTTCCAGACAGTGTTCACTCCTACAAGTGATAGTGGTGGTGTGTTTATGTAAACATCACAAGGCCACTGTCTCACCATGGGTGCCGTATTCACATCTGCAGGGAGGAGCAGACAGGACAGATGATCCAAAACTGACCAACGAGGTATTCCATCCCACATACGTCATACGCAGTATAAAGCTGAGGGATCACGAGGGTCTCGACTCCTCCACACCCTTCTCCAGCAATGGCCGAAGCCCAAGCAGAACCCTGCTAGTTCGTCTGCCTCTGATTCTGATCCATGTGTTCCTGAATCCAGTTCCTGCATCCTGCTCCCACCTGCTGCTGAGTCCGGTCTGGGACTTTTCCAGTGCCCTGCTCCGCAGAGCCTCTGGTGATGTAATCGTCACTGGGGGGGGGGGAGGATTTTATATTGGTTTTATAGATACATTTGTACGTATTTCTTTTTTTATCCCTATTTACATTATTATCCTGTAGTATTAGTATTATTGTTTTGTTAAATCTGTTAGTTTTATTTTCCAACCCGTTAAGTCTCTCTCCCATATTCTCTTTCTCTTCCCCTTCTGGGGAGGGGGAGAGGGGTTAACAGAGAGTGTCTGTCCAGGATTTAGTAGCCAGCCCAGCCCTAAGCCACAATAGATTTATTGGTGCCTAACGTGGGGCTCGACAAGGATGTTATCAGTTTGCCTGAATAGTTTGAATTCCGGATCGCTCAGTTAAGGAAGCGTCGGGCTGTTA